TAACTTCTATCACCTCAATATTTACTCAACTTTAGAAGTGTTCAAATCAAGGTATAATAGCTTAGCCAAATCTTCAGATCGATAGGCCATCCCTAGAGGCCCATAACCTTAAAAAAGTATTTCTATCGAAAATAATTATTACAGGCGCAATTTTAGTTATTTAGTATTTTTTTGAAATCCTTTCTAGAATGTTTGGTTAGGCAAGAATCTAGCAAACTTAAGAATCCACTGCATATTCGTGATTTCCTGTTATATCCATCATGATTTTATATAGATTTATGGAACATAGATTCAAGTTTTTGTTTTTTGAAATACTTTTTCGAAACTTTGGTTATGTGAGAATTTCGGTATTTCAACAATCCACTGTATATTAGTAATTTCTTGCTTTATTTTTAGATCCGCTATCAAAATCACGAAATTTCTGAACGGAAAATCGCCAAAGCTCGGAAAAACCGCATTTTCACCGATTTTCTCTAATTTTTGGCATTGCAAACGTAGATTCATCAGCTGGCTAACTTAAGAACCCAGCGTAGTTGTTAAAAAATGATTCTTTTCCGGAAAATTCCGAAATTTGCAAAATCTACATAAATAGGAAAACCGCATTTTCACTGATCACAAATTTTTAGAATAGAAACTTATAGGTTTGATAACTCAAAAATTCAATACCATCTGTATTTCATTACATCCTTCCAGGTTACATTATCAAAATTTGTTACCCGGAAAATTGCGAAATAGGAAATCCGCATTTTCGTGGATCTTCTTAAATTTTCAATGTTTTGTGTCAGAAAAAAATATACTTGTCTAACACAATAACCCACTATGGGAATGCATTTATCATTTTCTTTATAGGTCTGATGTCAAAATCACGATTCCTTTTCCGTAAAATCTCCATAATGCGGAAAAAACACGGTTATTTCTCGATTCTTAGCATTTTTAGATTGAATAATACAACTTGACAACAATGCGTATATTCAGGTTCCTTTGTTATAATTGCGATTTGTGGTGCAGAAAATTGTCATAAATGGCATACCGTATTTTCAGTGCTTTTTTTCAATTTTTGACCTTTTGGATCAGTAGAGGAATGCTTGGCTGACTTATGCATGGATTGAGTTCCTGAGCGAAGATATGAATGATATCCCACTCTAAAAAATCCTAAAATTGGAAAAAAGTCTGTGGTTTTCCAATTTTTTTACAGTTTTCCATACTGAAAAAAACCTAAAAGGATCCAGATAGGTATACAATAAAGCCACAGCATCCTATTCTTGACTAAAAAATGTCAAGAATTGAAGAAAATCGTCGAAAATGCGGTTTTTCATGTTTTGGCATCTTTTTGGGAAAAAAATTCAAAATTTGATTGTGAACCTAAAAGAATGATAAAAATACATATGTACGTTGGGTTTTTAGGTTAATCAACTTTGATATCTAGTTTGAAATGTAAAAAATGGAGAAAATGCGGTTTTTAATAAGTAAATATTGTGGATTCCTGAGACCGTTGAAATTTTCATTATGCGTTCCACAAATCTATAAAAAATCAACGGGTATGTAGGATTATACAATGAAGCATAGGTCCGAAATTTTTTGAGCGCATAAACTTATTTTCGAAAACACGCTTTTGAGGTTAGATCTGAAAATTTGGATTGATTTGGATTTGGACATCTTTGGAGGCAATTTCTTATATAATGTGGACTATAGCCTTTATTGGTTTTTGTAAAACGTTTCACGTATTCGATAAGCCTTTGTATGCAAATAATCACATTCAGACAGTAGCGCTGACAGTTTTAATAATTGCTGATTAATTTTCAAAATTTCAGGCATATAAAATTTAACCTAATCTCAGTATTTAAAAAGAAATAAAACCATTTATGTTAATCATACTGAATCGTCAATTTTTGTATCAGCATTTGGTTTGCTTAATTGTCGGAGATATAGTCAGGTATGTTTTACTGAATTTTTTAACGCCATTCATTATTCTCAGAAGCTTTTTCAGAGGTAAACTATGGTTTAAACCAGGTTGGTTACGATTTATGTAAGTTACTATTCAAAAGCTCATATGTCTTGGAATTCGTACCTCCTGCTTAGCATAGTTGCAAAATGATAATTATATTCCAATTTTCAAAATTAACCCTTAATCGACCTGTATACGGAAATCTTTAATGCTCAATTTGGGTATTCTAAGAAAAGCCTACGAAAACGATTCTCGGAAAACAAAATTGCTCGCTGAAATATCCAAGTTATGTCATAATTAAGACATATTCTGGATGAAATTGATGCAAGAATACTATATTTCAGCGTAAAAGTAGCAGACAACTTCAAAATAGCGGCTGAGCATTATCTTGTAATATTTTTTAAATGGAATAAGGAGTAGAATGATACTTGTTTTGAAGATCCTCACGACTACTTTCAACCCTCAAAATATTAATCATTAAATTGTTATCGCATGTTATATCGATCTTCTTCTTTTGGAAGAATCTATGTGATCGTCCATCGTTTGAAAATGATCCAAAATGACGTCCAATCGCCATGTTGAAATTTTAACTGTTAATTTTACACTGGGAAATAGAATTTGTTCATCAGTTTTTTTTATCCCGATTCAGCCTGCTAACTGAACCGTTTAAAAATAGGCTTTTAGAAAACTTCATACGTACTGTTCGATAGTCAAGCATTGGACCAGCAAGAGGTTGAAAAAATTACACTAATAACATATAATAATTTTATTAAAGGATGGATCAAGAACTCACATACTAACTATAAGAAATGGTGATGTAATATCAGTTACATTAGTGTGATCATAAACATTATAATCACAATAATAAAGGAACTAGCTACATGATATACTTTTACCCTCACCAAACATTTGTAATATGGCCCCCATAAAACAAAAAAATCAGACAGCTTATGCTGCTAAACAAAACTTTAACTTGTGATAGCAAATAATTGTTGCAATGATTGGGGTAAATCACAGTATATTATATTATTCTCACCCTTACCTACTTTTACTTACTCGCCTATAATTACGCTATTCTGTTATACAGGGTGAGTTTTTAGTGGTTGCATCTAAAAAAGTTCATCGAAAAAAATGTAGCCAACAGAATGCTATCGAATTGGAGAATATTTTTATCTCTACAGGGTTACCCAAGCAAACATTTTTTGAAAGGAATACCTTACATTTTATTGCAGATTTGAGTAGGCCCTTCTAAACGAAGCATTCTAAAATTGTTGAAACATTGGACAATCTGTTTCACAACTCGCTCTTTCTCTACTGTTATAGCTAGAGCTAGAGGGCATTAAAAAATGTATGTTTGAGTCACCACTTAGTTATAAATCACCCTGTAGCACAAACATTTTCTAAATTTTGCATTAAACTTTATTAGATATCAAGAGTAATAACGGTGTTACCGGCCAAGGCTTCATTAAAAACTCACCCTGTATATCAGCAGACATGCTATTGCCATATATAATATATGACACATTCCTATAGTCAATCCATAAATTTACAATAAAATAATTCATATATAATATAAATTTAAATATAATATAATTTACTACATATTTTTAATAGTAAAAGGCACACTCTTAGTATATTTGTTCTGTAAGTAGTTCAAATAGGATATAAAAAATACATACTAGGTATACAGGATCGGTTAGAAATAAGTAAATTCTATATAGTGACAGGTCTCATCATTTTTGGAAATTACATTACATTAAATTCCGATAAATTCTAGGCGGGATATGAATTTTCCTGGAAAGAGAACACATTTTCAATTTGCATTGATTTTACTTATTTCATAGCGACACTGAATACGGATTGAGACGCATTTGCTTAATGGTTAATTTTACTAGAAGTATCGTAATACTGTACATCTTAGCTTCTAAACAATTTGATCATAGGATCATATCACAAATAAAGACGGCTTGATTTACAACAACTATCACATAGTGGAAAAAAATATTTAGCTAAGGTCTTTTCCTTTCTCGTCCCTGTTCTTTTCCTTGTTGTTCCACGACTGCTCTTCGCCGCTACCGTAACAGGTGTAAATGATATTTGTCACCACAAAAACCGCAAAGGTGATCCAGAAAACGACCCGCCACTGCTTCAAGGTATGCTGGAAAAATAGATTTATTGATTTTTTATTTAAGTTTTGCGGCAAATACGAGCCCCTTCCCACTTCAGTTGGCCCAACTATTGAAATCTTAGCTTTTTCCTATCAAACACAAATAATAAAATGTAGCAGGGTGTGTATAGGTTTAAAATATTAACAATGAATATTTTGATAATAAACTAGTAGGAAAACGCCAACTTTACACTCCCTAATCAAATTTGCCAGCATCAAAATAACACATGTTGCAATTCCAGCATATCAACCTATTTTCATTTCAATGCAAAATAAGTCTTAACGCGTAGGTGGCTGTGAAAATAAAAGCCATGACAATTGTTTTTATTAATCACAGCTGTCAGAATACGTTTAAAATAGTTTTGGGTAGTTAAGGTTTTCAAAATGGGTAGAGGAAAGGTTATTAGTGAGAAAATTCGGTTACTGATAATCAAATTTTTTAATTCTGGGAAATCAACTCAGAAATTGCAACTTTGTTAGACTTATCGCGGTACAGTGTGAGAAATATTGTTAGAAGATATAACGTAACTGATTCAGTTAATATTAAGCCACGATATGTGAAAAAAGTAAGATCACAAATGCGACCGAAGAGCATTAAGAAGAATATCGTGAAAAACAGGCGTGCCAGTTATTTACAATTAAGTGGTCTGTGGAGAGACGCTGTTGGAAGGAGAATTTCGAGGTCCACAACTCATAGAGAGGCCCACAAACTGGATTTAGCACTTGCAAGGTAAGTTTTCTTATAAAAAAAAAAGTGAAGTAAAAACCCTAAATTTGCACCACTTGTTTATAGGCCAAAGAAAAGCCACTATTAACTCCACTGCAAAAGCAAAAATCGGCTTAGATGGGCTAAAGAACATAGACAATGTACATCTCAACATGGTGTGCAATTCAATGGAGTGATGAGGCCCGATACGAAGTTTGTGTTGGTGACAGTCGCAGTAGAGTTAGTCGCAAAAAAAATGAACCATTCCATGTTGACTGTCTGAAGAGAAAAGTGTAATTTTCAGCTTCCATTATGGTCTGGGGCAGACACTTTAAATTGTTGATGGACAAAAATAAAGATTATTTTCGGGTTAACTGTATAACCGTTTAAATTTGGTTCTGTTACAGCTATTGATATAATAACCGGCTACCCTATAACCGATTTCTATCAATAACCGTCCATCCCTACCATCCAGGCGCCCCTGATAGATACTAGTGATGTTGATTCCCGTTACTTCGGAGTATTCGTTAAGAATCATTACTCTTTACAAGTAATCATACTTTGAGTAGTATGAGTATAAAGATTTGGCAAAGTGTGTCGAATCTTGTAAGAAAATGGACAACCTTAAAATTTGCAAAATTTTCTAGCATAGTTATTCAAATCTGTTGTGTTTAATGCAAACATCGTATCTTTAAACTTATGCAAAATGAGATAGGTTATTATAAGATAGGGTGTGAAGCATGTCTTTTAGTGAGATGATCCGAATATGGGCTTAAGGAATTCAGAAAGTAACTTTTAGAAGCATGTACCGGTATAAAAAATCTACGTGAAGCTTAGTTTACACATACTGTTGGTGGTCATACTGAATTATGAATTTTAGCAAAATGTGGGACAAGTAAGCACGACTCAAGTTGACATAATTTTTATTATTTTGGTTTTCGTGTACAGTGCTGTTACCTCGTTGTCGCTTTTCTGGCTCATAATACTACCGAACTTTGTTCCAGTCCAATCAACTTGTTATCCATTTCAGGTCTTCAAGATCACAACAGTAAGAGCGAATTTGATTCACGCTGTAAATAGGCAAACTCAATTTTTTTTGATTTTCGGACATACAATTTTTTAAATCTGGAGTTTCCAGGTTTCACCCGAATGTGGGGTGTCTGGCAACCCTGATGCATGAGCGGCAGTGTCTAAGATGGCAGAGTAATCTAGGTAATCATTTCGTGCTCGGATTGGTACTCGTTACTTCGGATATCTGTGGGTAACGAGTACTAGAGTAACGAATAATTACTTTTTCAACACCTCTAATAGATACTTACATTTTCGGTGAGTGCACCTACAACGTATGGCGTGAAAATTCCTGTGATCGCCCCAATGCCATTCACTATAGCCATGAGCGTTCCAGCATAGTTTGGTGAAAGGTCCAATGCGTTCACCTTCATGCCACAGTAGAAGGTACCCATGAAACCCATCGCTATGGTGAACATCGCCACGGTGAGGTATCTGTCGCACCCGCTGTACGAGGCGATCATTATGAAGAGAGCTGGTCCGAGGGATGCTAGAAAAAACAATAAAAGTTAACTAGGATCCTTCATTTTTGTATTGTCACAGTAAACAGAATAGAATAGAATTATTAGCCGTATGATGTAAAGATACATATGGGCTCTGTAAATTAAGCGTTGAGACTGGCAACGTAGCGTTGGATTTGGCAACGCTGGAGGCAAGATAGGGGGACATGTGAACCGCCTCTAGTACAAGTTGAACTCGCTCGAGTCATTAGGTTATCCGTAAGCGATTTTTTTGTGAATTTTTTTCTGTTTTCTTGTGCTATCAGGTTTTGCTTCGGACTTGGGCATAGTGCAACGGAAACTCTTGCTAAACCGGTCTACGGAGAGTGTTTTGACAAGAGCGGAGGATTTTCGGTTGGTTAAAGCATTTTCAGAAGGGAGAGGTCGATTGAAGATGTACAACGAAGCGGAAGGCCTCATCTTCAAGAATCGATGAAAATATCAACAGAATCCGGGATCTTGCGCGTTCAGATCGTCAGTTGACAGTCAGAATGACGAGGGAAGAATCAAATTTGACTCACACCACCGCCCATCAGATCAAGAACAAGTGGGTGTACATCACGATAATGCTCCTTATCAAACAGCAAGGTCAATAAACGGCTTTCGGCCAGTAAAAACATTCATGTGGCTCCTCAGTCTCCTCAGTCGCCTGACTTGAGTCCTTGTGAACTTTTTTCTTCCCGAAGATGGAAAATCACCTCAAGGGAACTCATTTTGGAACAGTCCGAAGACATTCAAACGCTGTAACCGACCAGCTGAAGGCTATTCCAGTACTCAGTGCCATGAATCCTTCTTTATAAAGTTAGGTGTTTCTTGTCAGTCACTTCCCTCCTGAGATTGTGGTGTGAGCGCCAGTTGATTAACCTCCAGTTTCTGGGATATCAGGTGCCGAACACCAGATTGTGAAGTAGTGCCCCTTCATATAGTACCTTACGTCTAGTTGTTTTGGTTTGGGTGCTACCCCGTCCATTTTCTTGTGGGATTTTAATCTTCAGCGGTAAGTTTTTTTTCTTATACCAAAACATTCCTGTGGATCCTCAGTCTCCCTCAGTCGCCTGACTTGAGTCCTTGTGAACTTTTTTCTTCCCGAAGATGGAAAACCACCTCAAGGGAACTCATTTTGGAACAGTCGAAGGCATTCAAACGGCTGTAACCGACCATCTGAAGGCTGTACTCAGTGCCATGAATCTTTCTTTATAAAGTTAGGTGTTTCTTGTCAGTCACTTTCCTCCTGAGATTGTGGGGTGAGCGCCAGTTGCTTAACCTCCAGATTCTCGGATATTAGGTGCCGAACACCACTTTGTGGAGTAGTGCCCCTTCCTATAGTACCTTATCTCTAGTTGTTTTGGTTTGGGTGCTACCCCCGTCCATTTTCTTATGGGGTTTTAATCTTCAGCGGTAAGTTTTTTCTTATACCATCGGATCACGTGCATTAATGAAGGCACTATTATGAGAAGTGGAAGAACCGCTTTCAGCGCTGTATGGCTTCCGAAGGAAGTAGTTTTTGAGGGTAAAATTGTAATTATATTTGGATACAACAAATCAGTGATAAAGGAGGTAAAGCACGTTTCAGATAACGAATAGATGGATTCAGTGAACTTACCAACTGTAGTAAAGAACTTCTGGCAAAAGTGATTTTCATGTACCCACGGGTGATCAACCAATCGCACAACCACCCAGAGCTCATGGAGATCAACCACATAACCACGTAGGGCACCGATGACCAAATTCCGTTCTCTTTCACGTCGAACTTTAACACGTCGCTCATGTATTTGGGAAGGTCGGTGACCATGGTGAAGAAGCCCCAGTCGTGGCCGATTTGGGCAGCTACTAGTGCCCAGAGCGGTGTCGAGGTCCAGATGCTCCGCCAAGGGGTGGCCGGGGACTCCCTATGGACGTTTTCTGGAATTTGATCAAATACACTTAGAAAAAATATCCTTATAATTATACTAGAGGTAGTAGATGATAATTTATTCCACAATTTAACAGCGATAATATACTAAGTGACATATAATCCGAACACCCAGTTTAAATGGTTTTATTTAATAAAAGTTGGTGAATGTATTTATCTTACTGTAAATAACAAGTGAAAAAATTTTCAGCCTTATCAGTTGAGCATTCCGGTTTTTATACTGCTTTTTTTAATTCACTAACGCTCTAAAAATGAATATTTCAGCCGCAGTAAAGAATCAACGTTGGCGGATTTTGGTTCTTGACATCCTTTACGATCGGTTACGATGCCTAGAGTACGGAGACCTGTACGATTTCGGCAACTTAGTGAGTTTGATAGGGGCCGTATAGTGGGACTTCGGGAAGCTGGACTTTCTTTTCGGGCAATTGCAGTTAGAGTGCAAAGAAGTGTAGACACAGTGGTTAGGTGTTGTCAGGCATGGCTTCGAGAAGGCCGTACGCAAAGAGCAAGGGGCACTGGACGCCGCCGTAGAACAACAGACCGTGAAGATCGCCGCCTAAGATTATTGGCCTTAAGGGACCGTTTCTCCACTATCAGGTCCATTGCAATGAATGGTTTGCAGAACACGGAAGACCTATTGGCAAGCGAAGTGTTTACTGACGAATGAGAAGTTTTGGCTTGTTTTCATACCGGCCACACTGGGTCCTCCCTTTAACTCGAGAACACCGACGTAATCGCCTTGAGTGTGCAGACAACGGTCACTCTGGGATCAGGAATGGAACCGTATTGTCTTTAGTGACGAGTCTCGATTTTGTTTAGGCATGCACGATGGTCGTGCCATGGTTAGAAGGCGACGTGGGTGAAAGGAGGAATCCACAGTTTTTTGTAGAAAGACATGTTCATCACACTGTTGGAGTTATGGTTGGGGTGCTATAGCTTATGGTTCCAGGTCACCTTAATCTTCATCAGGGTAACAAGAACGCGCAGCGTTATATCCACGAAGTTCTAGAACCCCATCTTTTACCCTTTCTTGACACCCTGGCAGATCCAACTTTCCAACAAGATAATGCCCGACCACATGTTGCAAGATCTCCCGACTTATCCCCAATTGAGCCGTGTGGGATATGATGGGTAGGAGATGGCTCAATTTGCAACGTCCTCCCTCCAGACTCTAGAAGCACTTCGAGAGGAGTTGGGGCTTGCCTGGAATGAGATACCACAGGAGGACATTGACCACCTGATCAGAAGCATGCCTAGGCGCGTTGGAGAATGCGTAGCACATCAGGGTGCATCCACACATTATTAAAGGTCAAAGGGCTTTAAGGAGTGCAATCATTTGAAATTTTTATCATTTACTTATTATGCTTCATTAAGTACTTATACAAAATTTTATTAAAATAAAACCATTTAAACTGGGTGTTCGGATTTATATGTCACTTAGTATATATCCGTTTAAATGAATTCTTTGCTAAATTATGTATATTTTGAAATGTTTTATAAATCTTTGGGTACGCGTTCGAATAATTTTCAGCCAAGTAGAGAAAAGATCGCTTCATTATGGTATTAAGAGGCTTAAGCGCATTTATCGCAATTATCGCGTTCACTGACAACTTTGTGATAATGGGCTGATAGGATGTAAGAAATACGGGTGCTTCATATAAAACAACTTTGTTTCCTTGTATAAATCATGTGTTGAATATAATTTTGGTTTACGAACATAGCTTTTAAAACAGTTCTCTGTAAACTTCTATATCGTTTAAATAAGGCATGCTATATAATAGTACGTATATAATTTTCAGTCAATATGCATGTGAGGAATTTATTTTGTCTGTAACAAATCTTATTTTCTTTGAAATATAGGTTGCATGAATGTCCCACCTGAATGTAGGTATAAAAAAAATCCTAAATTCTTGATATTACCCACTCTGTCAATTTTTAAATTTGTATTGTTACTTTAAGGAGATATTTGAATAATCGGGTAGATGTCTTGCATATGATGTGAACGATAGGAAATGCGTTTTTCCAAAGTTCACGGTTGATTTTCTCTAGTGTTAAACAAATTACAATAGTCATTCACAATACCATTCCGTTTATATAGTAAGGCCGTATCATCGGCAACATTGCCTTTTGTACCTACACAGTTAATTTGAATATATCATTCAAATAGATATTAAATAAAGGAGGGCCTAACACTGAACCCTGAGGTACACCACATTTGACAAACATTTTTTTTACTGTCTGATTTTTATAGTTTCACTAGTTGGGACCTTTTGACAAATAACTTTGCGTTAAAGAACATATATTTCTACGAAAACCTAATTTGTCTGAAATCCTTTACCACACAAATAGATAGAGTTTTCTCATGAAGGTTTTGGGTGATTTGATTCACTAGACTTAGGAAAAACATCTGAGGTAGACCGACGGAAATATTCCAAACCGTAGGCATTAATTTATAATGTTCAGCTCAGAGTACCGAAAAGGAAGTGAGCAGCGAAACATATCGCATGGCACTGGTCAGCGCGTCATCCCCTTATTTACGGCGCAAAGCGACGAAAGCGCATGCAATAACGTGCGATGAGCTCTCTTCCTTTCGGTACCACGATATAGTGTATCTTGCGTGGCTAAGAACGGGATGACATGTTTGCTTTAGTACTTAATGCTTTTTTTAATTACCTAATTCTTTCTTAAGGTACATTTTTTCCTTGTCACTGATGAAAGGGTGTGAATCAGGATCTGAATAACAAAGCAGCACCACATTATGAACCATAGAATCCCAAGGCTTCCAAATAGGTAGAATACTGAAGCCCAGTCATTCGTAGCGTTGATCAAGGCACCACTGATGCTGTTACTCACTATAGTACCTGAAAATTCAAATATTTTTTTACAGTAATAGTAACAGTAAATTTCTTTTACTGAGGCGCGAAGTTTAGTGAAGCTATTCTGCCTTTTAACCTTGAAAAGTACGAAAAATAAAATAACAATTATGAACATGTAAAAGTATATAATGTTGTAGTCACAGTAGATAATGAAATTTATGTATACAGGTGAACGTACACCGAAAAGGAAGTGAGGAACTACGATGTTAAGTACTTTTTTAAAATAAATTACTTGATTTGTTCTTAAGTTTATGGTAGTTAGTGATTTTAATGCCTGATTGTACTTCATCATAAAGTTTAACCGCGTTGTATGTGAAGCACTTATGGCAGAATGCCGTTTTATGGAGTTGCATGGTGAGTGTCTGAGTAAACCATATTTCTTTTTTCGTTCTTTAGAAATGAGCGAATCGAAGTAAGCAAGAGCTTATGAGTGTAGTTAATAATAAGTCTCAAGAACTGCTTATTTGGTCATATTTTCTCAATTATTTATTAATCTGCAACATGAACTTCTTGTAAATGTGGCAGATATAGTATCTAAAAATGAATTGTAAACTATATTACAGTAAGTAATTTTGGATACAATTAATGATTATCATAAGATTTTCTGAGTTTGATAATCGAGAATTTGTTTATTCAGATATAACTGACGTAAGATCAGAATGCAGATTTTAGGAATTCTGTTTACACGAGCTATGAACTTGAGACACTCATCAAAAAGAATTCCCAAGTTTTTGACTGCCTTATTAATTTCGACAGTAGCACTATCTAAACTAACATTAAAGTTGTTTTTTGACATGATTCCTAAAAGGTTTAGGTGAAAAAATAATTTTGAGGTTATGATTTTGTGCATATCAATTGATTGAGTTATATCCTCATTCATTCTATATTCAGCGATTTGAGTGTTGCTACTATGGAGGTGGTTATACATTTAAGAGTCATCAGCAAAAGATTGATACTACAACGTCTAACGAATGAGTGCAAGGCAGTACATAAATTGAATAATATGGTCCGAGTACAGAACTTTGAGGTACTCCAGATGAAATGACATATTTAGGCGACACATCCATATTAATACGAGCCCCTTCCACTTGGCCCACTTCAAGATTTGTACCAAAATATGCCTTTATAAACTAAACATGACGAAACAATTTACTTCTAAAACAATTTATTTTGTATTGTATTATATACACTCTAGTCGTAAAAAATACATATTTGAAAGCACTTAGACCTATAACTAATAGAACATCTGAACAAATAAGCAATGTGCGAATAAATGCGCGAAGTTAACAAAGCAACAATTGAAAGATTACCATTGGGTAACATCACCTTTATTTTTTATTACGACTGAAATTCTTTGGGGCATAGTGTTAACCAAAATTTTGGCAAAAATTTGGTGTAGAACAATCCCATATTTCTTGAAACTTTTGTCTCAGTTCGGTGATTGTACGAGCAGGATGTTGTCGTAGAACCTTTTTCATCTCGTGCCACAAAGTTTCACTAGGTGACAGATCTGGACTGCTAGAAAGTGGTACAATATTTTGTTCCATCCATTTTATAAGCCTTTTTTAGGTATGGCAATGCTGCACCATCTTGCTGAAACACAAAATCTTGGCCGGATGTCAAACATTCTTCGATCATTGGTAAAAGCGATTCTTCTAAAATTGCCAAATATTTGTTTTATCCACATTTCCATCAATAAAATGAAGTTTTCCTACTCGTTTTGACGACATACTCCTGCCCCAGACCATAATGGTTGCTGGAAATTTCACTTTTCTCTTCAGACAGTCAACATGGAATGCTTCATTTTTTTTGCGAATAACTCTACTGCGACTGTCACCAACACAAACTTCGAATCGGGCCTCATCACTCCATTGTATTGCACGCCATTGTTGAGGTGTCCATTGTCTATGTTCTTTAGCCTATCTTAAGCCGATTTTTCTTTGCAGTGGAGTTAATTGGTGGCTTTTCTTGGCCTATAAACAAGTTGTGCAAATCTAGGGTTTTTTTACTTCACTTTTTTTTATAAGAACATTTACCTTGCAAGTGCTAAATCCCAGTTTCTGGCCTCTCTATGAGATGTGGACGTCGAAATTCTCCTTCCAATAGCGTCACTCCACAGAGCCTTAATTGTAAATAATCGGCATGCCTGTTTTTCACGATATTCTTCTTATGCTCGTCGGGGCGGTCGGCATTGTGATATTATTTTTTTTTACATATCGTGGCTTAATATTAACTGAACCAGTTACAAATTATATCTCTAACAATATTCCTCACACTGTACCGCGATAAGTCTAACAAAGTTGCAATTTCAGAGTTTGATTTCCCAGAATTAAAAATTTAATTATCAGTAACCGAATTTTCTCACTAATAACCGTTCCTCTACCCATTTTGAAAACCTTAACTACCCAAAACTATTTAAACGTATTCTGACAGCTGTGATTAATAAAAACAATTGTCATGGCTTTTATTTTCACAGCCACCTATGCGTTATAGACTTATTTTGAATCGAAATCAAAATAGGTTGATATGCTGTATTGCAACATGTGTTATTTTTGTGCTGCAAATTTGATTAGGGAGTGATAAAGTTGGTGTTTTCTACTATATATTATCAAAAATATTCATTGTTAATATTTTAAACCTACAACACCATGATACATTTTTATTATTTGTGTTTGATAAGATTTCAATAGTTGGGCCAACTGAAGTGGGAAGGGGCTCGTAGTACTCTTTGAGAGTGATTAGATAAAAACCACGCATCATATTAATAGAAGAATCGAAAAAAACCGTAAAATTTACATTTAGCAAGTAGCACACGAGGATTTAGACTATCGGAAGCCTTAGTAATTCATGAAGTGCTAGTGCTGTTATCAAATGCTAATCCTACGTTCTAACAATATTGTCTGTCAACTACAACAATGCACCTGGGTACTTAAAATGTGTAAATATCTATTGTACTAGTCGTAAAGCATAAGATCGTATCTTTTATAACAAACTAAAATAGAAAATTTGTTATCTATAATAATAAATAATAATTCAATGAGATACCACACTATCTTGGTGGTTAATTGGATAGTCACATTTGAAAATGATGATTGAAATTTTTTAATGAATAGCATTATAGATATATAAAACAGTCCCCACCAAATTATATTCCTAAATAATTTTCGACGCTGAATCCCATCCTGGATCGGTAAAGTTAGACGACAAGAATCTACAATCGCGCCCAAAGCGTCGAATCTTATTTCGGATGCCAGATGCTGGATCATGCTAATTGCATGTGTTTTTCGACGCTGCGTCTGAATTTGTGGTCGAAAGATTCTTACACCCCTAGAGTTCACCCCCGAGCCCAAAAACTGTCGCTAAAAGGAGTGAAAACTTGTTTGGATGCCAGATGCTCGATCATGCTATTTTTATGTGTTTTTCGACGCTACGTCTGAATTTGTGGTCGAAGATTCCTACACCCCTAGAGTTCCCCCCCCGCGCCCAAAAACAGTCCCTAGAAAAGGTGGAAAATGAGTTCTGGATGCAGATGCTGGACAGCTTTCCACCTTCTGGAACAAGCTTTTCATGTATTTTTGACGTTACTTGTGGTCGAAAACACCCCATACATACCTAGAGTTCACTCCCGGCCCCAAACAATGTTCCCAGAAGCGGTGAAAATTGAGCTTCAGATACCGGATGCTGGAGGCATCTAACACGTGCAACTTTAACAGACTTCGTGTCTCTATCCGACTTTGAATACCCGGTAAACTAAATAGTGAAACAGCTGTCACAAGTTCTCTTAGACGCCGCCATGGTATCTCATTTTATCTCGGTGATTTTTTTTTGTGTGCGCGAATATACCATTAGGTTGGCTATCTTTAGGTAGAATACGTTAAACAATGCTTTCACCTTTTAAGTCACTCTCTAAAAAGTTGTTGATTCAAAAATATAAAGAAATATATGGGTATTTCGCAGCAAATTTCGAAATTCATGTCCTGAGCCATTGATGCTAAGTTGCATGGATTTATCATCAATTTAACATTTTTATTATATCAGTAAGTATACTAAACGACATATAAATCCGAACACCCAGTTTAAATGGTTTTATTTTAATAAAAGTTGGTGAATGTATTTATCTTACTGTAAATAACAAGTGAAACAATTTTCAGCCTTATCAGTTGGACATTCCGGTTTTTATACTGCTTTTTTTAATTCGCTAACGCCCTAAAAATGAATATTTCAGCCGCAGAAAAGAATCAACGTTGGCGGATTTTGGTTCTTGACATCCTTTACGATCGGTTACGATGCCATGCCTAGAGTACGGAGACCTGTACGATTTCGTCAACCTAGTGAGTTTGATAGGGGCCGTATAGTGGGACTTCGGGAAGCTGGACTTTCTTTTCGGGCAATTGCAGTTAGAGTGCAAAGAAGTGTAGACACTGTGGTTAGGTGTTGTCAGGCATGGCTTCGAGAAGGCCGTAAGCAAAGAGCAAGGGGCACTGGTCGCCGCCGTAGAACAACAGACCGTGAAGATCGCCGCCAAGATTATTGGCCTTAAGGGACCGTTTCTCCACTACCAGGTCCACTGCAAATGAATGGTTTGCAAAATATGGAAGACCTATTGGCATGCGAAGTGTTTACCGACGAATGAGAAGTTTTGGCTTGTTTTCATACCGGCCACACTGGGTCCTCCATTTAACTCGAGAACACCGACGTAATCGCCTTGAGTGGTGCAGACAACGGTCACTCTGGGATCAGGAATGGAACAGTATTGTCTTTAGTGACGAGTCTCGATTTTGTTTAGGCATGCCCGATGGTCGTGCCAGGGTTAGAAGGCGACGTGGCGAAAGGAAGAATCCACAGTTTTTTGTTGAAAGACATGTTCATCACACTGTTGGAGTTATGGTTTGGGGTGCTATAGCTTATGGTTCCAGGTCACCTTTAATCTTCATCAGAGGTAACATGAACGCGCAGCGTTATATCCACGAGGTTCTAGAACCCCATCTTTTAACCTAACTTGACACTCTGGCAGATCCAACTTTCCAACAAGATAATGCCCGACCACATGTTGCAAGAGTCACAATAGACTTCTTTCAACATAATAATGTCACATTGTTACCATGGCCACCAAGATCTCTCGACTTATCCCCAATTGAGCACGTGTGGGATATGATGGGTAGGAGATTGCTCAATTTGCAACGTCCTCCTCAGACTCTAGAAGCACTTCGAGAGGAGTTGGTGGTTGCCTGGAATGAGATACCACAGGAGGACATTGACCACCTGATCAGAAGCATGCCTAGGCGCGTTGGAGAG